GCCTCCAGGTGCCTCAGCCTGCAGATCACGCGCATCTCCGCCTTCTTCCAGCACTTCCAGGTAAGGCCACCCCGGCAGCTAGGGCCCCCCGGGCCGCGGTAATCTCCACCCGTGGCGGCCCAAGTTCTCCCATCGGGGACCCGGGAGCCCGCGAGAGGCGCACGGGGCCGCACCTTCGGCCACAGTGCCCCAAGTCCGCTCCTGCCCGGCCGCAGACCTTGCTTTCTCTGCTCGGATTTTCAAAGCCGAGCGCGGGACTCTCTTTCCAGCCTCCTCATGCGCTTGGGTGCAAAACAGCCGACAGCGTCTGTTCCCAGCTCCTTGCAGCTTTTCCCACGGAAACGGGAAGGCGGTGGCCTTGGGGAGAGGACAGTGTCGTGATTTCCAGGGTGGGAGTGCGGATTTGCGCGTTGCCCCGGACCGCGAGGCAAGGAGGCGCGCCCGTGCGCCCCGGGACCGAGACCTGTCCAGCTCCGCAGGTGCCCACGGGCGGCACTGTTGTCTCTCCTGAGCAAGGGCTTTCTGGCTCTGCGGCCCGGAGCTCGCTGCGCACCCCGTGAGCCCCAAGGAGAGCGCTTTGCCACGTTGTGTGCCTGTGTGTTGCGGGGAGTCTCCCACTCTTGAGCCCCATAGCTTTTCAAGGGTCTACTTACTCCTGAATTGCATGGGGCGCAGAGGGAAGGATGCCAAGGGTCGGGGCACAGGCTGGCGTATCAGGGTCATTCTCGCCCCCACCCCTGTCGTGTTTTCAGCTTGAAAGTGGAGGTGGTGTGTGTGTGAGCGCGCGTTCGGGTCTGCGGGGCGCTCAGGGAGCAGCAAGATTGTTGCCCGCGTTTTGCCAGGGTCTTGGGGGAGGCCGCCAGGGCGGGCACCCGCGGGAGTTACGCGGAGCCTGGGTGCGGGTAGGCGCACTGGAGCGGCGCCCAGCTAAGGTGGTCGCCTTTGCCAGCGGATCGGAGCGTGCGAGCTCTGAGCTCATTCACTCCTACGCCCTATTTCTCTCGCCTGCCTTCGCGCGCTCTCCCTGCGATCTTGCTTCTCTCCTAGGCTGACCACCTGCTCTAAGATCCCAACTTCTCGCCTCAGGGGACATCGCACAGCCAGGGGGAGACCAAGAGCTCCCGGCGCGCGGGGTTTGGAGGGTGGTTTGGAGGCGGAGCTCTCTGCCCTTAGGAATGGCCTGCGCGTCCTCCCGCGCCGGTGGGTGAAGGCGGCCCTTGCAGGGCCTGGGGTTGGGCGGTCCTGGAGGCGCTTTAAGAGCCTGGTGGTTTGGAGCGATCTGCGTGGCCATCAGGGAAGTCCTGGGTGGTGTGCGAGCGACTGAAACCCTCTTCAGCGGCTCCAGGAGCCTTTAAAGTTGGGATGTTAAAGAGGTTGAACCAATGCGTATAGTTTGCAAGTGTGGGAGTGTGCGCTTTTGTCTATTCTTAGTGAACAAGGAAGGAGCCCTGCTGGCTGAAAGGTTAAGTGCTCTGCTGCTCACGGAAAGCTGCGAGGTTGGGACCTACCCAGAGGCTCCTGGGAGAAAGACCTGGCAATTTGCGTCCATAAAGAAAAAAAAAAAAAAAAAAAAAAAACTCACTGCCATGGAGTCAACCCGACTGGTAGCCACCCCTCCTTGGGTTTCCAAGGCAGTATCACTATGGAAGTAGATTGCCCCATCTTCCTTCCGAGGAGTGGCTGGTGGCTTTGAACCGCCAGCCTTCTGATTAGCAGTCCAGTGCCTTAGGCACTATACCACCCACTGCCTAGAAAACCGTTTTGGGCAGTTCTTCTCTGTCCCATGGCATCGCTATGAGTCTAAAGGCACTTCAGGGCACCTAACCACAGCAAGAAATCAAAGGAGCAGCATCTAGTGGGTTTATGAGAAGTTGAGGGGGGGTAGCCTACAGCCCTACTGGGCCCTCAGTAAAGGGAAAAGCCGTTGCTCCTCAGGGTGACATGCCGTGGACCTCTGGGAGAGGGCTTGTCCAGGGCACCTGGTCTCAAAGGGCCTGTCCTGAGAGCCCGGCCCCTGAGAAGATGCTGCACTGTCCTTTAAACAACAGGAAGCAGAGCCCAGCAGCCCATCCCCGAGAGGAAGAGAGGCTCTTTGTACGTAGGGAATTGTCCCCTGCTCGGCTGGATTCGCTTCACGGTTTCGGCACTGAAGAAGCCGGAGATCAGGCCGGTGCCAGTGAAGGGCCTTCTTTGTGGTCTCTTGGCATGATTTCTCCTCCCAAGAAAAACTGCTGACTGAGCCTGCGTTGCCAAAGCACCCTGATTACGTTTTAATTAGCCGGGTGAAATAAGCTGCAAATTACTCAGTTAGGACTTGCTAGCTGCTGTTTTGTAACCAATTGCAAAGCCATTCTTGGAGTTTAACCCTCACCTGGTAACGCCTGTCTGATTTCTCTAAATGACAGGATTAAGCTTTCTTAGGGTTTGGGGAAACACACGCACACACAGAGCAAAACAACCCAACAGTGTGATCTCCTGTAAGTCCCGCCTGCCCTGGCCCTTCCCCTTCTTGAATAATGGTATGGGTGGTGGTGGAATCAGGCCGTGGGCAACCCATCACGCTGTGCGTGGTGTCTGTGACACTTATTCAGGGGTCAGTAAGGCTGGGCTGGAGTTCCTGGATGGTGCCAACCATTGAAACACTTGGCTGCTAACGGAAAAGCTGGCAGTTAGACTCCGCCCTGAGGCACCTCGGAAGAAAGTCCTGCTATTCTGCTTCTGGAAAAATAGGCTACTGAAAGCACTCCAGAACATTTCGACTCAAGACATGCACGGGGTTGCCTTGAGTTGGAGTTGGCCCCACTCGTGGTACAGTGCCTAAGGCATTTGACTGCTAACCAGAAGGTTGGCAGTTCAAACCCACCAGCCGCTCTGTGGAAAGAAGGTGAGGCAATTGACTTCCATAAAGATTTACTGCCTCCGAAACCCAATGGGGGTTGTTATGAGTCGGAATAGACTCTTGGCAGTGAGTTTTTTTTTTTTTTTTTTTTTTGTGTGTGTGTGTGTGTGTTGACAAGAAGTCTTACGGAGAGCCCCTTCTATGGGAGGAGCCAACCCAGGCCTTCTTGGTGCAGGGAGAGACTGGGAGCAGCCTGGGGTGGAGGGATCTGGTGCCTCCGGGCTGCAGGGGAGCCTGCACTCATCTCCTCCACCCTGACCCGGTGCCCTTCACCACACTGCCCAGCCCTGCAGCATCTGGACTGGGAAAGCAGCAGTGCACACCTGGTCCCGCTACACCTGTGCACAGTGGCCGTCCCCTGGCCTGAAAGCACAGGGACCCACGGTACTGATGGGTGAGCGTGGGAACAGGAACGGGGCCTCCTGGATTATCTGACACTGCCCCTGACCCTGCAGAGCTGAGAATTCAAAAGTGAGAGGAAGATGACGCATTGCATCACTGAGGGCTGCCCCTCAATCGTTAAATGTTTGTGGCGGTGGCTTTTAGCTGTCGTGGTATCAACTGTCATCATGACGACTCCATGTGTGACAGGGTAGGACTGTACCTCGTAGGGTTTCACTGGCTGATTTTTGGGAAGTAGATCGCTAGACCTTTTTTTCTCGAGCCTCTGGGTGGACTCGAACCTCCAGGCTTTCAGTTAGCAGCTGACGGCGTTGACTTTGTATGGCCCAGGGATTCCTCTGCAGGCCTAGTGACTTCTAATCTATCATCTATCTGTCTATCATTCATCTATCATCTGTCTATCTATCTGTCATCTGTCATGTATCCTCTATCTCATATTAACTGTTTTCACCATCCAGGGACTTCCATTGGTTAGTTGCTTAATTTTCTTCAGGACTATGTAATATACAAGGCTCGGTGCAAAATGAAAATATGGGGCCCCTCTTCCAAAAAGCGTGAAAAAGCGTTGTTGTTGTTGTTGTTGTTATGTGCCGTCGAAAGCGTTAGAGGGACACAAATATATGCCTTTTCTCTTTCTTCTGCAGTCTCTCTCTAGACTTGTCATGGTGTTTAAATTTGCTATTTAATTTTATGCTAAGTAAAGAAAATTAAATATTTAAATTAACTAGTGCAAATTTTGGGAGCTCTGGTGGCCTAGTGTCTAAGGCACTTGACTGCTAATCAGAAGGCTGGGGATTCAAACCCACCAGCCACTCCTCAGAAGGAAGGTTGGGCAATCTACTTACATAGAGATACTGCCTTGGAAACCCAAGGAGGGGTCACTATGTGTCAGACCTGATGCAATGGCAGTGAGTTTGAGTGCAATTTTTACTGTTCATCTTTATCTTCTGCAGCGCCTGTTTCAAATGCAAACATCGGTGTATGTAATGTGTATGTGGAATCCCCAGCATTCTATAGCTGGTGTTCTGTGCCCCATCCCCGGAGGGTGCTTGGAGACAGCCAGAAGAGACGTGAGCCCAGGAAGGTTGGAAGGAAGAAGAGAGGGTCCTCGAGGCTGGGAGAGCCCCCCCCCCCGCACATGGGGTCCTTGCAGCATGAGGGCAGACCTCCATAGGTGCCTGGATCCTGGCGCACGCGTGCTTGCTCTAGTTGGACATCTGCCAGTTTCCCTCCCCTTCTGTTGTTGAGCTCAAGGATAACCAATCAGTTCTGACATTGCGTTTACTTAGCACACAGCCAAAGCAGTGGAGTGGCACAAACTCCACTACTGGCAGTTCGAACCCACTCAGAGGCACTTCAGAAGACAGGCCTGGCCTGCTTCTGAAAAGGCCCAGCCTTGAAAACCCCATGGGGCAGTTCTACTCTGGACACACAGGCTTGCCATGAGCGGGAATGGACTCCATGGCAGCATAACCACAGTGAAGCCTGCGCCCGGGAAAGTCTATCCACCAGGACTTCCGGTGTCCCCTGAATTCTTAAATGATTTCACACATGGTTGCAGAGATGAGAGGAGGTGTTCCCTGGAGCAGGCCTGAGGACATCCAGCCGGGTGGCTCCCCTTCCCACGGCCTACAGCAGCCGGGCAACCTCCAGTGCATTGCAGCTCCTCAGTGGGACGGGTGCTGGCATGGACTAGGTGCTGGGTAAGAAACTCACCTCCACAGGATCTTGGCTGTGGTGCCACCAGCATGGGGTGGGG